CGCGGCTGCTGAGCCTCCGCCCGCCCCGCCACCACCATCGCCCTTCTCGCCCGCGCGGGGACCCCCCCTCGGCTCCCCTCCCTCCTCACAGCCGCCGCCATGTTGGGCCGGGAGCCGCAGCGGGGCCGCCACTGAGCCCCGGAGCCTGCGAGGAGGAGGCGGAGGAGGAGGCGGAGGAGGAGCCCGGGCCCGGCCGCCCCGCAGAGCCCAGCGCCGGCCGCCCAGCCGCAGCCATGGCGGAGCAGACCTACTCCTGGTGAGCCGCGGGGCCGAGGCGGCGGGGGGGCCCGAGCCGAGCCGGCTGGGCCGGGCCGAGCGCGGCCCCACGCGGGGACGGTGTCCCGGCCGGGGGGGACCGGCGGTGGGGGCCTGCGGCGGGGGTCGGGACGTGAAGGAGCTGCCTGGCGGAGGGGGCTGCGGGCTGAGGGCTCAGCGCGGCTGAGGAGGAGGGATTAGGGGGAAGGGAGGAGGGACGGGGCCGCCGGGCTGTGCGGTTCCCCCCCGCCGGCAGCCGGGCAGCGGGAGAGGATCGCTGGGAGCAYTGGCGTGGCTGTCACCCCCTGTCCCGGGGGGCTCCGTGTGAGCTGAGCTGCACGGCCGGCGCTGCGATCCGCCGGGCCTGGAGAGGGACAGGACCATGTTCACGGCTGTGAGGCTGCGGGTCACCTCTGCCTAAAGGGAGATTTATGCCAGCGCAGGCTGGTAAGTCGGTGGCATGTGTGTGTGTTTTCACCTAGTGACAATAGGCTTGGTCTGTGTACAGGAAATAGAACGACGAGGAAGAGACCAGTTCCTGTGGAAAGACATCAAGTATAGCAAATGAGAGGGCATTTTTTTCTGTGTCCTGACACTGTCTCGGGCCTAGCTGGCAGTGGATCAAAGAGAAGGGGTGCAGTTTMTTCCTATAATTCTGGGGTTTGTACTGTTGTGGATCACAGCCAAAATATCTCAAATAATTTACCTGTGCATCATCTCTATTGACCTGACCACTGCAGCAATTTACTATGATATTCTCACTGCATTTTAAACCCAGTGGTATAATCCAGAGTTGTTTCTTAGATTTTTTGAAAGAAGTTCCTTATTTTGAAAAAAGTTCCTTATTAAAAAAGGGGTTAAAKCTTAGTTTTTGACCTTGGTGTGTGCTGAATGTGGAGAAGGGATTGAATATGCAACGAGTATCCTGGTTCTGAGTGGTCCCATTACTTTTCAAAACTTGGAACCCAGTGTGGATTTCTGTTCTGCCACATGTTGAGACTTTGGYAGCCCCTTCTTCTCTCTCCTGTCTCTTCTCTATCAAGAACCAATATTTATATTGGTCTTCTGCTTTTKAGATGTTCTTACTTTGTTTCACAAGCTCAGTTCAGGCAGTGGTCTGCTCTGCTTTAAAACAGCAGTAAAAAGACAACTCTTTAGACTTAAAAGATTGTTTGCATATTGACACAGTAAATGAATATTGGTACAGATTTGAGTAGTTTAATGTAGTTCAGTTAAATGTGTCTTAGTGTGTTTTAATTGTAGAATGAAATTCGGGTTTTGTCAGCTCACTTGAAAGAAGTAAATGAAACAAAATGTCAATTGTATGTTATTTTGATCTTAACTCCTTTGCTTTTTTGGATGARTGTCTTTGCCTTAGTAATAGTCTAAAGGGAGGCTTTTTAGTAGGCTGGGAGAAGGATTTGCTCTTCTATAAATTACACATTTTAAGGGAATGAAATTGGGATTTAAAGTGTTCACAGCTTGCTAGGTGGATCTGAAGAATGGAAGTTCTTTTTTACCGTACTGAGGTTGGAACAGAATGAGGACATGGTGTTTATGTCTTAAAACACTGTAATTTTTGTCTTTGTTCACAATGATGTCCTCATGGATCTGAGGTTTCTGTCACTTTGCATTTTTACCTGTAATCAACCTTGCCTGGGAGCTGTGGGAGCAGTGGACAGAACAAAAATCCAGTTTCAGTCATTCCCTCTTTTCTGTGGATRTTTCATTACTTACACTTCTAGCAGTGATCTTGCCTTGGTTTATTTGCAGTTGTTCTAATGCAGCTCAGCATAAAATTGGCCAGTGCTTTAGCACTTTCAGGAAAAATGTGCATTTTGTCACCTGAGGAGACTGGTGCT